GAAAGGTACCACTTTAGTTCTTCAAATGCTTCCTGGCACTCCGTCGTCCACTTGAAGCTGTTTGCTTTGTGCATGATCTGGATAAAAGGGAGTGATCTTTCGACTGACTTGGAGAGAAAACGGCTCAGGGCCGCCAGGCGCCCCGTTAGCCGTTGTACCTCCTTGACGTTGCGGGGCGGCTCCATATTGATGATCGCCTGTATCTTCTCCGGGTTTATTTCAATGCCTCTCCGGCTGACCATGTAGCTGAGGAACTTGCCGCCTTGGACGCCAAAGGCGCACTTCTTGGGGTTGAGGCGGAGTTTGAACTCCTTCATGATTTCAAAAATTTCCCGGAGGTCGTCAGCATGCATGGTGGTCCGCTTGCTTTTGACAATCATGTCATCGACGTATGCCTCCATCGTCCGTCCGAGGACCGCCCTGAAGATCTTAGCCACCATCCTGGTATAGGTGGCGCCGGAGTTTTTGAGTCCGAAAGCCATGACGAGGTAGCAAAAAATTCCCTCCGGGGTCATGAAGGCCGTCTTCTCAGCGTCATCTTCATGCATGAAAATCTGGTGGTACCCTCTGAAGGCGTCAAGGAACGACATCAACTCGCATCCCGCCGTCTCGTCCACCAATTGATCAATGTTGGGGAGAGGAAACGGGTCCATGGGGCACGCCTTGTTCAGGTCAGTGTAATCAACACACATTCTGAATGTCGGCGGTTTTTGGGCGAGGACAACGTTGGCTAGCCACGTCGGGTACTTCACCTCCTTGATGTGGTTGATTGAGAGGAGCATGGTGACCCCCCCCCCCCCCTTGACGAAGTCCCGCCTGTCGGCGGACAAGTAGCGTCGCTTCTGCTTGACAGGCGCGGAGGCCGGATCGACGGTCAGCCGGTGGGTGATCACCTTCCCGCTGATGCCTGGCATGTCGTCCGGGCCCCACACAAAGATGATGGCGTATGACCGTAGGACGAGGAGGATGGCGTCTCGCTGGTCCTGTGGGAGTTGCTTCACAAATTTTGAGGATCCGCTCCGGCCGAGAGGTATCCAGGGGGACCTCCTCGACCTCTTCGGCTGGTTCGGCATGCGGTCTCTCCTCGTCCTTGGCAACAGTCACCGTGATGGTGTCTATTCTTTGTCCTTCCCTTTCGGCTGGCCTCATTAGCTTGAGGTAGCATGCCCTGGCTATCCTCTGGTTTCCTCTGGCGTAGCCGATGCTGCCACTGGTGGGGAACTTCAAGCATACGTGCTTCATGGAGATGATGGCCTCCAGGTCCTCCAGCGCTGGCCGCCCTCAAATCAGGTTGTGGGCGCACTGAAAGTTGACCACCATGAACTCCATGTCAATTTTGGCGCGGTGAGAGCCGTCGCCGACCTCCACGGGGAGGACTATCGTGCCTTCGGCGTCGATAGAGTCCCCGGTGAAACCGGACAACGGTGTCTTGATCGGCTTCAGCAGAGCTTTGTCCAGCTTCAGCTGCTTGAAGGTGTCTAGGTACATCACGTTGACGGAGCTCCTTGTATCGATGTAAGTGCGGTGGATGATGGAGTCACCGATCTCACACCGGATGACGAGGGCGTCCCTGTGTGACTCCGTACCAGGAGGCAGATCCTTGTCGGTGAAGGTGTTCGCCTCCGTTCGTTACTTCTTCGGCTGGGGGGGGACATGGGACACCTCCCAATGTAAAGGGATTGGGCCCATTTTTTCCTCTGGGTGACGGAGTCCCCCCCGGTGTTCCCACCTACGATGAGGTGAATATGGTTCTTCTTCGGTGGAGGCTCCTCGAAATCTTCGTTGTCGCTGAGCCTGCCGATCTCCCGCTTCTTCGTAGAGGGTTTGCCCCTAGATTTGTCGGCGTTTACCCACGTATTTTTGCGCGGGACACCTTTAGCAAATTGGGAGAGTTCCCCCTGACGAATCAGGCGCTCGATGGCTTTCTTCAGCGTGATGCAATCATCGGTGTTGTGTGAGGAGTTCTTGTGGAAACGACAGTAGGTGCCGCCTTGCTGGATGGCAAGGGCTTCCTCCGTCGGCCGAGGAGCTTGTTCAATGAGGTCGTGCTTCTCGGCATAGTCGAGGATGGTGCTGACCGGGTGCGTGAGGGGGACCCCCGGCCGTTCCAACCTCGGCCGCCAATGGCGGTCTTTCTTGCTTTGTCCACCAGAGCTGTGACGGCCCTGGGCACCCTGGTCGGACGGGGATGCTCCTGGGGCCGGCGAAGGATTTGTCTTCTTGGAGGGGTGGCCTCCGTCTTTTTGTGGTTGTGGAGCTCATCGGCATCAGCGTACAAACTCCCACGCTAAAGCGCCTTTGCATACGACCTCAGAGGGTCGGTGATGAGGCTCCTGGCATACGGGGAGCTGCAGAGGGCTCCCTGGTAGAGGACGAGGAGGGTGCGCTCATCGGCTCCTTCGACCTCTTAGGTCTCCCTCGTCCACTGATCAATGAATGACCGGAGAGGTTCGTCACGTTGCTACTTGATGGAGAGGAGATGGGTGAAGTACTTCTTCGCACGCTTCCTCCCGGCAAAGTGGGTGAGGAAGCGCTGGGCAAGGTCCTGCCATGAGTCTATACTCCCTTCGGGAAGCGCGTTGAACCACTCGTACGCCGGCCCCTCAAGAGTGGAGAGGAACCAACGACAGAGATATTCATCCGACGCGTTCACCATCAGCATGTTGTTCTGGTAGCGGCTGAAGTGTTCCTGGGGGTCTGATCGGCCGTCATAGGATTTGATGGCGTTTCCCCTGTACTTCTCCGAGATGGGAGCCGAGAGCACCCTGTTAGTGAAGGGAGTCCTGGTCCTGACCTGGATGACGGGGTCACCTCGTCCTTTAGCCAGCTCCCTCTCAAGGGCGCTGACCTTATTCATGAGTGCATTTTGGCCGGGGTCATTGGAGGCACCGGCCGTGGGAATGTTCGCCAACTGTCTGACCTCCATCTGGGCCAGTCTCCTTTCGAGTTGGGCGATAACCTCGTCCCGAGGGTCCCTGGCGGCCGCAGTGGCGCCCTGTTGGTTCTGTATGCACACCTCGTGGGCCGCATTGATCTGGTGGCGCATGTCTTCCTCGTGCAACTTTCCTTTGCCTTTGTTCAGGTGGGGATGGTCCGCTGTCCGGGACACGGACCCCAAGCTTTCCCTTGGCGAGCCAGGCCGGCGCTCACCAATTCGTCTCGCCATCCTCTCCGAAACCGGACGACGGCGCGTGTCACCCAGCCTATTGAAGGCAGAGGCTTTTCCACGCGCTGGGGTTTGTCCGGGCCGAAGAGGGGAAGCAGGGTGGGAGTGGGATGACGTCGTGTCCTGGGCTATCACCCCCTCATCGTTGCCTAGCTTGACGGCCAACGGTTGGGGCTGAGGAGGTGGAGTGATGTTCCCCCCAGTCCTTGGCATGAGTGCGCTGAGGACGGTGGGGTTCTGAGCCAAGCTGGCGATGATGACCGATAGTGCGGCCTGAACCTGTGGGTCAACAGACGGAGAGGCCGTAGCCAACGGTTGGGCCGGGGCGTTGTCTGCCTTCTCTGCGCGCTTCTTATCCAGGCCGATGCGGGCATCAGGGACGCCACCGTTGAGCTGGTTGCACAGGTCCGTCGTGAGGTTGATGGCCTCCTGGAAGACGTCCCCTCCTCCGGCCTGGTCGGCCGTGGCGTCCTCCTCACGCTCTCTGGTCTCCTGGTCCTCAGGGATGGCCTTGGTGACGAGGTTGCGGTTTGACTTAATTCTTCCCATGATCAGTGGTTAGTTGTGCTTGGTAGCGACGAAGGATGTTAACTTGATTGTTCTAACTCTCAACGAGAGCACCAAATGATGGAGTATATATCTAGAGAGAAGTGAGAGCTAGATAGAGAAGTGCAAGTAAATGCTTCAATAAATGATTTTGTGAACCCCTACAACTACTCCGAGAGGTAGTATTTATAGGGAAAATACGGGTTGGACTCCCAAGTCTTGGGCTTGGGAGGCCCATTTACAACTGGACCGCTATTGGGCTGAATACAATGTGTGTAGAAATGATCAAGTATAAAATCCTATTCTGGGGGCCGCTCGTGGCCGATGAGGGCACGGCCGACGAGGACCCGACCGACGAGGTCACCCGGTTCTCCTGACTTCTGGACCGTATTCTGAGTAGACTACTTTCTGGCCGATGGAGGTCATCTGGCCGACGAGGGTCCCACCAGGTGATCGTGGTACCTTCTGTCCTTCCGAGTATGTGGGCCATGGGGTCCAGGCCCATATACTCCATCATATATATATATATATATATATATATATATATATATATATATATATATATATATATATATATATATGTATGTATGTATGTATGTATGTATGTATGTATGTATGTATGTATGTATATATTAAGAAAACTGTGAAGTTAAATATGTAGCATATAAACATTGCAGTTGATAATATGCATACTTTGAGATCTTATTGGATAAATAATCATTATTTTATTATTATTATTATTATTTTTATTAATAATATTATTATAATTACGATAAAAAATATTATTACTACTACTATTACGATAAAAAAATTATTATTATTATTATTATTATTATTATTATTACGATAAAAAAATTATTATAATTATTATCATTATCAATATTATTATTAGTGTTGTCTTGAACTATTGATAATACGAATAGTATGGAGCACTTAGTTTTAATTGGTAAAACATGAATAAACATAAAACTTAATACCAGAGTGGAACAATGGTTATCAGTGGTGCAGTAGTGTGAACCTTAGGATTTTAAATGGATACACTTGGGTTCGATTCCCATGAGGCCTCAAATTTTTTATTGTTTTTATATTATAGTATAGTACATGAATGCTATGACATGGACTTGGTGATGGGCAGGGAAATGACGTGGAAACGGGAGTGGAGGGTCTATTTCATATTTTAATGAGGCTTATTTTTTTTTGGTACAGTAGGAAACATTTCATGAGACATGTGAAATGTGGGATATGAGATGCAGAGATGGGGAATTTCTTCATTCAGTTATATGAAAAATAAAAATTTCCCACTGTACCAAAAAAATAAGCCTCATTAAAATATGAAATAGATCCTCCACTCCCATTTGAAATGTAATGGCAGGCCAAAGGAGTAAAAATTTCAAATCTGCAGATAAACAAGGAAGATGAGAAGATATCTTAATATTCTGGCTTATAAGAGCATCATGAATCTGCTAGGAAGGTAAATAATATCTTCTTGCCGAGTAAAATTACTATGTAAGGAAGAAGAAGGTTATGTCTAACTAACAAGAAGAAGATTATCCCTATCACATAAATTTTATTTGTTGTCTCTTACAAGATTTTATTTTTATTTGATGGCTCCCATATTTCACATGTCATTGAAGTGAAATGTTATTCTATTGCTTCCATCATGTAAATTTATTGATTTCTTGTTTTTCTTGTACATGATGAGTTTCTTTGTTAATCTGAAATTTAATCACAGTGGTAGGTGGGTTCGAAAGCCAAAGTTACATTATGTTAATGGAGATGTAGATACAATGTATTACTTTGACTCTGATTATATGTGTTTTAGTGGTCTTTCAAAGAAATACAAGGATGGCTTGGGATTTAAGACACCGAAAAACATACGAAGTCTATGTTTTGGAACCCGGAGAAGATATAGATAATGGATTGTTCATAGTTCAAGATGATGATACAATACGGAGGGTGTTGAGTCGTATTAGGAAATTTTGTTGGATTATAGATATAGAGATATATGATGATCATGATATCACTATAAGAAAAATAGGTTTGGGCAACAAATTTTGTTGTTACCCAAAGCACTTAGTTTGTCACCCAATCATTTTGTGCAAAAAAACAACACTCGTCACGAGATTGTTGCCCAAGCCTCGTGGCCCATACTAATTTGTGCAACAAGCTTAGCAATCATATATAGCACAAGATGTAATTTGTGCATGGCATAGTGACGTCACAAATGTATATCTTTTGTGCAACAGAGTTTCTGTCTAGTGGCACATGCATATGTTTTGTGCTATGATATGCTCACTAAGCAGAAAGTGTTATATTTTGATTTAAAATGATTATCACACATGACCCTTTTGTGCAACAAAATGAATTTGTTTGTTGCCCAAACAGTGTATGTATATATATGTGCGCGCACACACAATATTGACTAATGAGATCAAGTTTCAATTATTTGTACATTATTATTGATTATTCTTTAGCATAACGTTCAACACAAAATATTACACCGTACCAAATAGCAAATTAATATTAGTTTTTCTTTAATGTAACACTAACCATTAACTAAAAATATATTTAATAATCAACATATCACAAGTTTTTTAACGCCAACCTTATTCAACAAGAAAAGTCACAAGACAATAACCACTCTAAAAACATATTTTGATCCTTGAAGTATTAATGGGCTAGGTACATACTAGAGTCTAGCCCCTCATGTAAAACTAAATGATTCCTCTAGGATGTTATGGCTAATATTACAGCATGAACCTTCAAAACATATCAACAATGAGTCATGTTCTTCAGTCCCTACAGGCTTAAGTTTGGTTGGTGTGGGGAGAGGAGGGATAGGTGACTAGGTTGGTTGGAGTATTTTGGGGAGGAGAATTATTGGCTAAAGTTTCGGTGGGTAAGGTGTGGACTAGAGATATAGGTGGGTTGTTGGGGAAAGTATGCAGACTGGATGATATGGCCGGTGGAGATAAGATTAATGATGGAATTTTTGCATGGTTTATGCACCGTAGGGATAATGGACGTGGAACGATACGGAAAGATGATAGACACAAATTGTACATGATGAGAGACATAAAGACGACTCGTAGTATAGTTATAACAGAGATAACCGGACTGACAGAGAGTCACCCATGGAAATACATCAGTCATCAGGGTCCACCAATCTTCCTCTTCATGGCGTTTTTCTTCAGCCACATCCCTGACAGTACATTCAACTACGAAGTCTGCCAAGGCTTAACCTTTGATTGATGTTCTGGGTTGGAAACTTACTTGGTGCTAGTTGGTTAGCAAGGACCAATTTACTACTCGCGTCGTCTTGGCTGTCTTGAACAAAGTGCCTACCCTCAGGTCCGGTAACACTTTGATAGGGTGAGTCTAGAAGTAGTGTGCCAGCTTTTTTGCTGCCACGTAAACTGCAAGGGAGGTTTTCTCCAAGGCTGGATATCTGAGCTCAGCCCCACGGAGGACCTTGCTGATGTAGTAGACGGCATCTGCACAGTTCCTTCTTCACGCACCAAGACAGAGTTAATTGCACTTTGAGTTACTCCCAAAAAGAGAATGTGAGTTTCGTCGACCTCAGGCTTGCTGAGCAACACATCAGATTGTAAGTATATCTTGAGGTCTTCAAAGGCAGTTTGGCACTCTTGGGTCCATTAGAACCCACTGCTCTTCTTCAGGACTTGGAAAAATGGCAAAGATTTATCTGTTAACCTGGATAAAAATCTCCCCAGGGCTGCCAACCTGTCAGTAAGAATTTGGACTTCTTTGACATTTATGGGGGATTCTATGTACAAGATTGCTTTGACTTTTTCTGGGTTAGGCTCGATACCCCTATGTTTTACCATAAACCCTAGAAATTTTCCGCCATGAACTGTGAAAGTACACTTCTTCGGATTGAGTCTTAGATTTACCTTCTTCATAATGCCAAAGACTTCTCTGAGGTCATCTGCGTGGTCATTTGCTTTTTGACTTTTTACTATCATGTCATCGACGTATGCCTCCATGTTCCTCCCAAGGACTTCTCGAAAGACCTTGGCCATCATTCTGATATATGTGGCCCCAGAGTTCCTCAATCCGAAAGCCATCACAAGGTAACAGAAAACTCCTTCTGGGGTAATGAATGAGGTCTTCTCAGCATCATCAGGGTGCATGGAGATCTAATGGTACCCCCTGAATGCATCCATAAAAGAAAGGAGTTCACATCCAGGGGTTTGATCCACCAACTGATCTATACTTGGCAAAGGAAAAGGGTCCATTGGACAGGCCTTGTTTAGGTTCGTGTAATCTACGCACATTCTCCAGGTCGGCGGCTTGGGGGCCAATACTACGTTGGTGAGCCATTCTGGATATTGGACTTCTCTAATATGCTTGATGCCCAATAACACGCTCATTTCCCCTTTTAACGAATTCTTTTCTATCCAAATAAATACTTGCATTTTTGCTTTACAGGAGCTACCTTTGGATCAACATTCAAATGGTGAATCGCGATGCCCGGGTCGATCGCTGGCATATCCTCAGGTCCCTAAGCAAAAATTCTCTCGAATTCCACTAAGACCTAGACTATCTTTGCTCTCGGGTTGGTCGGAAGTCGTGCACCAATTTTAATCCGGCGTTCCAACCGGGAAGGATCGACTTTGACCTCCTCAAGATCTGAGGAGGGCTGAGATCTGAACTGCCCTTCCTCATGTTTTGATAAGTCTTGCTCAATGGCGTTTTCCCTTACATCACTTCTCCCATGAGCCTTGCAAGCTCTTACATAGCAGCTTCTTGCCATCTTCTGGTCTCCCCTCACCGTGCCTATCCCGGTCGGCGTGTAAAACTTTATGCATAAATGAGCCTGGGAGATGATGGCTCTCAGGTCTTCCAGCAGTGGACGACCCAGAATGGCTTTGTGAACACTAGGTAAATGAACAACAACAAAGTTTGCTTCCACTATACGTACACATGGTTCTGATCGATATGGATCTTGAGGTTGATAACTCCCTTCAGGTCAATCGTGTTCCCGGTAAAACCTAAGAGAGGGGTTTTAACGGTCTTGAGGGCTTCTTTTTGAAACCTGGCCTCAAGAAAGGTGTCCATGTACATTATGTTTACCGAGTTGCCATTGTCCACAAGAACCTTATGGACAATTGTATCTGAAACTTCCATCTTGACCACCAGAGCATCCCTGTGGGGCGTAGGACAAGGCATCAAATCATCATCTGTGAAGATAGTAGACTCCCACTTCTGCTTTTTGTCAGCCGGAAAGCGGTTGATTGCCTCAATGAACAATTGGCGATTAATATTCCATTTCTTTCTTTCCCCCATCGTGTCTCCTCCCATAGGTACGTCGTAGATCTGGTTGACGTGTGGACACTTTTTCCGGCTCGACTCTTCCCCTTCATCATCATCCTCAAACTGGTAAGTGAATGGATAGTGGAGAACAAGAAGTGTAGGAAGAAAATAAAGATATGTCACATGTAATGTGATCAGTAGCACCTGAATCCACAAGCTAGATGTGAGAGTTGAAATGAATGACATTGGAAACTGACACATGGTCATTTAAAGAATGAAGACTACCTTGTTTGGATGCTGATGTTTCAGATGGTTGAAGTTCGTTTGAAGAAGCCATGTTTGCACAAACTTTCAAGAGAGAACTTAATTGTTGATACTGCTCTTGTGTCAAACCAATAGGTCCCCTTTTGGATTCCAAATTTTGTTCTTCATGGATTGCTGCATTCACAGTGCTCTTGTTCTTGTTTTCCCAGCCCCCTTGATGCTGAGTTTGTTGAGGTTTGAAACGAGCCAGTTTGTGTCCAGCTGGGTAACCAATGAGCTCAAAACAATTATCCACATTATGATTTGTTTTCTTGCAGTGAGTACAAAACATTGATTTGTTTTCATTCATGTTAGTATATCGACCATTGTTTTCATATTTCTTGTAATCTAATTTCTCACCCTGGTTGTTCTTAATGTAAGAGTATGTGGATTGGGCTGCCATAGCCATGGAATCAGATTGATAGAACATTGAAGATTTGAGCTTCTGATTGGCTTCTTCCTCTCCAATCATGTTGAGAACTTCATCTAATGGTGGTAAAGGATCCTTCAGAAGTATTTGATTCCTTACTTGAGTAAAGGATTACTTTAACCCCATCAGAGCCTTTTTCCTTTTCCAAAAGTTCATATCATTAGACTATTTCTTTGCTGGATGAATATTTTTTGGTAGGTTGTGATTGAATCGCATTAAATGTCATTTGTATAAACTCTAACCAATCAAAATACTTGGGAAGGCATCTTGATATCGTTTGCTTCTTTATCTTAGGTGCATAAATGTATTCCTTATAATTCTTAATGATTCTATCTGATGCTTCAATTGTAACTCTTAACAATAAAAAAGACCATCCTGCTCGGATTAACCTGAAAGAGCTTTATTGATATTATGTGGCTGTCAGTCAAGGTTTCCAGGTTGAAGAATAATTTTTGTCCATATAGGAATTGCTTGATGCTGATGAAGTATTTTGTACTGGCACAAGTATGAATTTCTTTCCCATTGGCAGCGTAACCTATTTAGGAAAATGGTGAGTTGTCTTACTTTGGGAGTGGATGCCGAGGACAATCTGAGAAGGTATCTTGGCTTACCGGGGCCTGTGGGGAAGAATAAAACAGTTATTTTGGGCTATCTTAAAGACAGGATTCTTAACAGGATAAAGAGTTGGAATAATAGGTTCCTATCTAGGGCAGGGAGAGTTGTTTTACTAAAAAATGTCATCCAAGCTATGCCCAGTTATGCTATGAATGTCTTTCTTTTACCAAAGGAAATGTGTGATGAGATTGAGAAACTAATGAATGGTTTCTGGTGGAGGGGCTCCAAATTTGATAAAAAAGGGCTTAGTTGGCGAAGTTGGCAGAAATTATGTAAGCCAAGAGAGGTTGGGGGTTAGGTTTTCAAAGGATGCGGGAGTTTAATCTTGCTATGTTAGATAAGCAAGGGTGGAGGCTCGTGAATGATGAGGGTAGTCTAGTGAGGAAGATTATGAAAGCAAGATATTATCCCCAGTCTAATTTCCTTCAAACTAAATTGGGAAGTAATCCATCCTTTATCTGGAGGAGTATCTTCGAGACGCAAAGTATTATCAGGAACAACATTCGGTGTAGAGTGGGGAATGGGGATAAAATCCAGGTCTGGGCCGATGCATGGCTGCCAGAAGAAGATGAGGGACGGGTCACTTCAGCTAAACCTCAGTGGGTAAAAGATATGAATGTCGCAGCATTAAGAGATTTCACTGGAAAAGAGTGGAATAGAGACAGAATCAATGCAATTTTTAATGCAGCAAATAGAGAAAGAATCATGAGTGTCCCTATTAGTTGTAGGGAGAGAGCCGACGGGTACTGGTGGAAGGGTGAGAAAAATGGACTGTTTTCTGTCAAGAGTTGTTACCGTATTCTAATGGGGGAATTTCATAGCGTGATGACGGATTCCTGGAAGAAGTTATGGGAGGCTAAGGTACCACCTAAATTTAAATATTTTTATGGCAGGTTTTGGATGGCTCTATACCCACGATAGACAATCTACGACATAGAGGCATGAATATTCCAAGTGGATGTAAGTTGTGTGATAGCTCGATGGAGTCTATTGAGCATGTGTTTCGAGGATGTCCTTGGGCGAATGATGTGTGGAAGGAGGCGAACATATCCACGGAAGACAACAAATCCATTGAGGATTGGATTCAAGTTTACATTACGAATGGAAGTGGGGAGGTAAGGGAGAGGTTTATATCTATTTTATGGAGTTTGTGGAAGAGGAGGAATAATGCGGTTTGAAAGGATCAGAAACACAACGCGGTAAGCGTTATCAATGGCACGACATGGGTGCTATCTGGATGGAAAGATGAACAGGTGGTTAGTCAGAGTAAAGGTCAGGTTGGGCCAAAAGGGGTGGAAAGGTGGAAGAGGCCAATGGAAGGGAGTATTAAAATAAATGTTGATGGGGCGGTTAATGAGACAAGAGGGGTGTGGGCATGGAGTTGGGTGGCAAGAGATGCAGAAGGAAATTTTATCAAGGCAAGAGGGGGGTCAGTCTGAGCCAGATGGTCTGTGGCTGAGGTTAAAGCTGTGGGCATCAAGGAGGCAGTGGAGGGGGCAATTGAAGCGGGGTGGCACAACGTGGAAATTGAATTGGATGCTCTCACGGTGGTGAATCTTCTATTATACAAAAGCAAGTGAGAAATCTGTACAGTGTTCCCGCCCAAACACTGTACAGTAATGGGTCGGGTCAACATACTCATGGGTGCAGAGATAGGTCAGCATCAAGGCCCATTATGGGTTCACATATGGGTGCAGAGACAAGTAAACATGGGTTTACTGTTTCGGTTGTTTGGCTCAAGGCAGATCAATAAATGCAGCCAACTTTTTTACATTAAAAAACAATTTCAATTGTCCTTTGTATCTAAAGAAATCTGAATGCAACCTTAAGTCTTAAAACATATTAATGCAGCCTGCTTTTGTCTATTAAAAAACGATTTCCATTGTCCTTTTTAACTTTTGAAAATCTAAAGTAGCCTTGAGCCTAAAAAACAATTAATGCATTGCATTTGGTTGTCTATTTTTCCAGCTCAATGCACGGTTATCTATTTTTCCAGCTATTCGAAATGCAGCAAGATCAATTCTTGAGCCTCACAAACAATAAATGCAATGCAATATAACAAAATCTAAATGTAAAAAGATTGAGTGGGTTTTTAACCCTTGGTTAATAACAAATAACCAATAACCAATTAATCCACCTTATGCAACCCCCATCCCTTATAAATACACAAATTGTGGTAGCTGAAAGCACACCACAAACAAGCAAGCAATTCCATACATAAGATTATTTTCAACTGAGCAATGGCGGGCTCAACAGGAATGTGGTTCCTTATCAGGGACATTAATCACACCAAGTCCACTTGGGCAATAAAGGTTAGGGTTGTACGAGCTTACGAGGTGCCTCCTCACTCAAGGGGAAACATTGGAAATGGTGTTGCACGACGCTGAGGTACAGTTTATTCATGCAATAATTGAAAGATCTTTTTCATGTTAAATACATCAAGGTGGAAAACGGGTATTGTAAATAATTGAAAGATCTTTTACATGTTTAATAGGGTGATCGCATTCACGCCATAATCAAACGACCACAACTTGCAATGTACAAGCCCATGATTGCAGAGCACAAGACTTATGCTCTAAGGAAGTTTTTGGTACTAGACAATTACCAAACAGTGAAGACTACGGATCATCCTTACCTAATACAGTTCATCTCTAAAACTCAACTTAGGGAGGATGCAAAAACAGAACTTCCTATGAGGGTTTATGATTTTCAACCTTTTGATATGCTGCACGCTCAAAGGGTTGTGAACGACAAAAGTCTCATTGGTGAGTATACTGATTTACCGATTTTTTGATACTCAAGTTATACACCTAACTTAATACCTGCCATGGGCTTGCTAACAACACTTTTCTGTTCGTTTGTGATGTTAGATATCATTGGGAAGGTTATCGCAAAAAGCGTTATTCAAACTCATATCATCAATGGGAAAACTGAAAGGCTTATGGAACTTACACTGACTGACCCAGAGTGAGTTTAAATTTATTTCAAATCTTTATAAAGTATGAGCATGAAGACTAATATTAATGCCTCAAAACTTCTTAAAATGACAGGGGTAACAGATTGGGCTGTGTGTTATGGAACAAGTATATCAACCAGTATCTGGATTACATCAATGAGAACGAAGGAGTTCCTGTGTTTGTGATATTCCAACTTTGTAGACCTAAGAGATACCAAGGTTTCAAAAATTTAGAACATTCTTTGTTTGGAAAAATCAAGTTGCATAAGACCTCACAGAATGTTTTTTAACCTATGCAGGGACCTTAACTGTGGCCTCTTCCTTTAATGTATCCAAACTTATCATTAACGGAAACACAACTGAAATACTAGAGTTCCAAAGCGAGTACGAAGAATTTAATGTTTGCAACTAATAATTATAATAAGTATTGTAAAAATTTATATTTAGTTTAAATCCTAACAAAACAATGCTAACAGATTTCCAGCAGATGGTGATGACACCATATCTCAAACATGCATGACACAATGCTCACAAGGTGAAGGTAGGGATGACGTGCTTACTGGACATGCTGTCATGACCACTATGGAGGAATTGATGAAGGCTACTGAGGTAAAGGTTAATCTTACAAGCTAGGAATACATTTGAATACGGTTAGGCTAAAGAATATTGAAAACCTGTTCAAATGAGCAGGAAGATGTTTACTGGGTACTTGCTGAGATAGTTTCTATTGAAAACTTTCGAGAATGGTGCTACCTATGCTGCCCAACATGCCACAAAAAATTAAAACAAGAGGATGACAGGTTTAGATGTCTTACGTGCAACATGAGCCTTGCAGACGGAGTGTATCGGTACATCACCTTGACCGTGACCCTATGATTGTTTCTATTGGTTTAAAAATAAGTATTAACGCTTTGCGTCTCTTGAAATGATCAAGTTACAAGGTCAGCGTGTGTATAATGGACAACACTGGGCATGGAAATTTTATTTTATGGGACATGGAGTGCATTGAGATTCTGGGGAAAACTTCTGCAAGCCTAATGGCAGAGGTGGAGAAGGTAACATCTGTTTTTTGGGGGACAATATATGTTTATTAAGCAGTTCTACATCTTATATTCTCTTTGATTGGGTAACTTGGCAAAAATCAGAACACAGGGGATCTGACACGCTTTCCCGAAGATATTGAAAGTTTGGTTGACAGAAAGGGAATATTTAAAATACAGCTTAAGAAGCAAAGTGAAGAAAATGCCTACAAATGTGGGATTTCACTAGGAGTTGTTAGTATGATTCGAGATCCTACTGTGCTAGCTATGTACGAAGGAAAGCAGGAACACTTGGGAAGAAATGAAAGTAATGAGACCACACCAGAAAAGGTAATTGTAAGAAGTTTGCAGATGTGCATTTTAGCCTTACATTTAGATGTGTAACTATTAATCTTTGCATTTCAGGTGGATTCAAACGCAAACAATGCAGACAACTCCAACAATATAAGAGAAAAGTCTACTGTCACTAAGGGCAAGGGGAAAAGGATTTCTGCAGAGAAGGAGGTATAGTGCTAAACAATATTTTGGTGTATCCCGCTGTTACTATATTTTAGTGAAGAAAATTCTGAAAACGAAGTTTCTTTTTATTATTACTAGGTTATTGCCCCCATTGACCTCCCAGATACACCTACGACATCAACCCAAAGGGAAGTTAATGTTGAATTGACTGAGGAGATCAAAAGAAACCTAAACGATGAGTTTTCTAGCAATGGGAATGGCAAGAAGCTGAAGATAAAAATCAAACAGGAACCACTCTAAATGGGGTTTCAAAGGCGGAAGATTTTGTATCATGTTTTTTGTTATCATCTGATCCATCATCCATCTATGTTTTTGATGGAAAACAGTATCAAATGGCAGTATGTATGCCTTGGCTTTTTGGAAGTGTAGAAAAACACTATTTGTGGGAACTCTTCAAATAACCAACACTAAGACTATTTATGTGATGTATGTTATATTTTGCCCTATCCTCTATGGATTATTTAGGGATTTACAAGTATAGAGGAACTCTGTAAGTTTGGGAACATTACAATAAAGAGAATTTGCAAGTTTTCCAAAAGAGCATTTGCAGGTTTCGGAAGAGATGGCAAACAGATGAACGTACACCTCATTGGTTTGGTATTAAAATTTGGTCATTACACTTACAAACTTTTGTATGATTTGCAGGTTCATAGCCGTCTAAAGAGTGAGGAGATTTGAAAGGAAGGGAATGTTGTTCTAAGTATGGGAATATTTTTGAAGCATTAGGAAATGTTGTATATGTAACTCTATATCAATTCGTAAAGTCAAGTGCACTATTGGTTTTAGAGATTGTATACATTCTATTTTAAAAGTAATAAATTTTATGTTTACGACAAAGGTTGGTTGTTTACCATTGAAAATAGGACAATCAATTTCTAAAATTCCAAACGATCATTGCAGTTCTAACAACTGCCAGAATCCAAAAAAAGGATATATTTAATATAATAGGGCAATGAAAGGAAGGAGTAAAGAAGTACTGCATACCTGACCTTTTTGTTTTGTAGATGATACCTGCAATACCTACTTTTAACTAAATAATAATATTACAAACCTCTTTCAATGGTACATAGATGGCAACCTTCTAAGGTCCCAAAACTATTCCTATTACATTTTACTAAATGGTAATCATATGAATACTCTTCCACCAGAAAATTATACCTCCAAGAATTATGCTACAAAGAGTTAATGCGCCAAAGTCATATCTTAACTGTACTCATGAAGATTTAAAACAAAGGGTTAAAGGGTATACTTAAGTATAAAAGAGTATTATTATTGACAGTACTTTCAAAAATACAATTATATAAGATTGTAAAATGTGAACTAAAAACCTCCGATTTTGTACTTAAGAGAATCATTTGCTAAAATGTCAATGCATTCACCAGGAATTTATAATTATTTACCTGAGTGTATGCCACACAGAGACATGCATATATTTATATATATAAAAATGTTAAAATATGTTTAAAAAGAGTTTAATACACTTAAAATCCTTATGAAGAAACTGGAGGAAGTGTTACAAATTATGCTTTAGAAACAATCAAATAATTTAGAATAAAAAGTGATTCTCAAAGTATAATATTTGATTAAAAAAATCTGAGATTTAATACACTTTAAAAATCTTTATAAATCGTATCAATTTTAATCAATTAAATGAAGAAAACAATATAAAGAAGATGTGCATTTATTAAAGAAATTGGAGGAAGTGTTTCAAAATATGCTTTAGAAAGAATCAAATAATTTAGAATAAAAAATGCTTTTTAAAGTACTTTATTTGATTATAAAATGAAGAGTTTAATAAAAAAAAATGGTTCTTAAAGTACTTTATTTAATAATTTTGAAGACAGCAGGATATGACATTTAAAAAAATCAAAATGAGTATGATAATTTTTTTTGTTTTTATCTAATAATTATGTAATAGTAATAGTAAGTTTTAGAAAATGAAACTTACATTGCACAATGAAACAAAGCATTCCATAGATGGCAATCATTCAAATACTCTTCAACTTCAAAATTACACCTTCAATATATAAGGCAAAAAAGAGTCATTATAACCAACTAACTAATTCCAATCACAAACCAACATTGAAATTCATTTTGAGTTATTGAACGAAAAAATAATATATAGATCATGTGCATATATTAAAAGAAAAAGAAGGAAGTATTTAAAAAATGCTTAAGAAACAATATTATAATTTATAATAAATTATGGTGCTCAAGTATTTTGTTTGATTTATATAAAGAAGAGTGAAATACACTTTAAAAAACTTTATGAATCAATAAAATTAAAAAATGGATTCACAGAAATAAAACAATGTTGTAGTGAGAAAATAAGTAACAAATAATGTGGGCTCATATTCAATTTGAAGTGCAGCTCCCATACACTTCAAAGTGTAACCAATGTACTTCACTTTAAAGTTCATGTACATTAATATATATGACTAAAATATTTAGAAATATAAAATGCAGTTTAAAGTATTTACATAATGCGTGTTTAATAGACAATCACAAACAAGTATTTTAAAAATGTCGTGAAACAAATTAAATCAATTTGAAGTACATGTTTACACATTGAATTTACAGGTTTTATATGTCATGTATGTAAGTGTAGATTATCTTAAAATGTAAACAGTTGTATAAGTTTTAAAAGAGCATTATTCACATTAAATTAAAATATAAAGTACACATTGTATAAATTATACTATCGTAATAACTATTTTTAAAAATTTCAGGCAAAAAATTTAAAAAAGTATTATAAAATAATAATTATAATTATTCATTTAAAAACCAGGAAAAAATGATTTCAAAATTACACAATTGTATTTAACTGTTTGCTCACATTCAATTTGAAGTGCAAAACCATGCACTCCAAATTATAACCAATGCACTCCAAATTATAACCAATGTACAATTATAACCATTCACATTAAATTTCTCCAATAAGAGGCACCATAAATAATTTGAAGTGAGAAATTAGTTAAAGAAGCTGAGTGAAAAATTCCATGAAATACAATTTAGGCCATAAGAGTTTGATAAAGAATAACAAATATTTAATAAAAAGGTTCAGTAAAATTAAATTTTGTGAGAAGTACATGGTCACACAAATGAGTATTGAGCAAAATTAATTTTAGCCTTGATGTGGAAACCCAGATAATTGATGTTTTAATTACCAAGGTTTTACAATGACCTTTGATATATTACTTAAAAAACCACAAGTTTAAAACATCTGCAAAAAATATTTTCTCAATGTTAGTACATTTATGAGATATGTAGTAATAAAAATAGAATCATCATCTTCTAATTTATAAAACTCATGTTAAGTTTTTGAATTAAAACGTAAGGACAGATTGGGAAAAATCATTATATGAATACATTCGATATTAATTCTAATGAAAAAGTTGTTGTATTTTGAAAAACATGATTCCAAAAAAATAGTAAGTCATGTGATTTAAAAAATATGCGGACAAAATAAAAGGTAAATAATTAATTTCGCAATGTATAGGCCATTTTTTAGAATAGTAAAGATGTAGGCATTAAATGAAAAGCTGTTTAACATCATTACTCAGAAATAATAATGAAAGCAGTTCATATCAAAAAAACAAATCCTTATAGGACTGCCCGATTAAATGAATCATGATATCATATAAAGAGCAGTTTTTTTTTCAAACAGTAATGTGCCGGATTGGCATTAGTTGTAAAGCAGTTCAACCACAATCCTCAATACTAGGATGGCTACTAGGTCTGCTCGAATTAAATGAGACTGGAGTGCATCCATAAAGATATTGATTTATTTTTTTGAAACAGTGAACTGGCAGGTTCAGTAATTACAAAGCAGTTGAGCAGCACTTTCCAATCCTAGGATGGCTACTAGGTTGGCTGGAATTAAATAAAGTCTGAGAGAGCATGTTATACGTATGTACTAAGGTTATAAACTAGTACATAAATACTTGATAAATGCATTTACTCCATTCTCAGAAATCATTTATGAGCTCAACCATAAAATCTAAGGCAGAACAAGTTCTCGAAAGGCTCAAGTATAAAGACTGACCTGTAGCAGATCACTTCCAAGCAAAGGTATGGATTCAAAAGATTTTGAAACTCAGCACATCTATGTCATGAATGGAGTTATGTGATAAAATACAAATCAAACAGTTTATAAAATTAGATTTTTATGTAAACATGAGTCATTTTTTTTTCAATCTGTGGTAATGAGATGTTTAAACTGTGATGTTAAAGATGAGAAGTTGTTCATGTTCACAATGTTATGCGCCCAAATGTCATTCATGTGGGAGAATGCCTGGGCTGTTTTGGTTGGAAGCATTCTTTTGGTGTAACAAAAATTTTAGTCATTTTTACTGCACGAGGCCTGTAAACAAGAAAAGGTATACTGGGGATTACTTATGCACAGAATGTCAAGAGTGGCTAGATGCTGGACCTAAAATACCTAGAAGGTCAAGTCGGATTATAACACTGAACCAGAAGTACTTCAATGAAAACACCTTTGTGGGGATGAGGTTTGGTTGGCTTAACATGGAATGAACATACTGTAGTGTGTTTTTTATGCAGTGGTTGGCATTCATATTAGTGAAATATGCTTATGTTTTTTGTTGGAATTGTAAAAGATGTGAACGGTTTTGGATATGTGGCATGTATAATGTGATGAAATTGTAAGCCATGTTTGGAATGTAATGGATGAAATGTAATGCAAGTGTTTTCTGAAGATACAGGTGCATGATTCTATGATCATCTATGTATGCTTTACTACATGCTGTAATGTAAAGTATATCAAAATAATTTCAGGAATTACTATTATTCAATGTTTGACATATATATTTGACAGATGGAGATGAGACATGCATTTCATAAGTACATAGTTATTCGATGAGATGCAGATTACACTAATTCTGGAATGTGGGTTACCAGAGGTTACCAGTATTCAGGTCAACGGACTGTCGGACCACGCAGTTCCGAAGGCCACTATTGTGGTTGGCAGGGTATCCGACAGCCCTATGGGATGGGTCATAACAACCAGTAACCAGCTTAACCAACCTTCCAAAATATTCGAAAAGAAAGTAATGAAATGAATGCAACATTTTTTAAAAGAAAATAATTTGAATGTTAACATTAAAGTTAATTTTTTTAATACAAATATTCAAGTGTTCTAATAGTGGTAGTTAACAAAATGTCATTTTCGGTTTAATAACAGCTCTTTCATGAAGAGGATTACCAAAAGCACCACAATCAACCGTAAAAGATGTGTTGATGACATGAGGAACAAAGGTAGATTATGTTGCTTAAATGTCACTTTACATTTAATTCAATTTAGATTACCATGTGGTCATGATAGGATTATTTTGAAATCCATTTAAGGTGGTAGATGCTTAAGTGCAGAATATCTATAGACAAATATAAAGTATCACAGATATATATTGTCCTGAAATGTAAATAAAAAATTAAACAATTGCTTGAAAGTCACTTTCTCAGATTTTCAGATAT